GAGAGAGAGAGAGAGAGAGAGAGAGAGAGAGAGAGACGAACAAGCACACACATAGTACTATAAAAATACACACAAAGAAAAACACACACATTCTTTACAAAGTCACGCCAAATTGAAATAATTATATAACAAATTGGTGTAGCCATTACAAGTACCAGAGAAGCAATCCGTTAAAATCCCATAGAGCAGTCAGGTAAAATGAGTTCTCTCCTTTTCATTACCCTTAACTGGCTTTACTAATCCGAACTTTTAAACCCTTTTATCGCCACTTAGGGGGTGAGAACCTTCCTTCTGACAGCGCAGATTTTCATCTAAGCTCATTTAGCCAGGACAGTGGTGTCATAATATCAGTGGCCATCAATAATTTATGTATAGAGGCATCAGCCATCCATGTCCAGGTGCTGTTTTAGCCATCATTTCACTAATCTCAGTGTAAGCGGACACGCTGTCTAGTCGGTGGCCAGCGGGCACTCTGTCTAGTCGGTGGCCTAGTGGTTAGGCTCTCAGACTTGAAATCATAATCGTAAGGTCGTGGGTACGAATCCTGTCAGGGGCCCGACGACATTGTGTCCTTGAGGGAAAGGCACTTTACACGAATTTTCCTCACTTCACCCAGGTGGGAATGGGTTCCTAGCTACAGCAGACAGTGAAAGATTTTGTCAGTTTGTTAGTGTTAGAGCGCTTAATCAGCTGCTTGCACTGTATTCTGCCCAGGAAGCTGAGAATGTTTCTAGGTGTTCTATGGTCTGCTGGGGTAATAGTACATTGTAAAGCGCACAGAGCTTGCCGTCGAGCGGGGGTATGCGCTATGCCAATGTTATTTATAATTACTAGTTAACTAAATCTAGCCCCCTCAAGGCATATTCTGATCCCGGGACTTTGATAGAGGAACCTTCCTCATTCACCTACATGTATATATCCCCATAATTTCAAACAACTTGCAAATCTTCGTCAAAAAACTGAAATTTTCTGTTCTTTTTCAGTTATTTAAATGTAAAATATTTAAATGTTCACATTTTGCGAGTACGATTACATGCTTTTATTCAGCAAAACTAAACCTGTGTTTATCAATTCCTTGCAAGCCCAGCAGAAATGTAATAATGGCTAATTTGGTACAGGCACTACACCCCACTACATCACAACATCACACCAAACAACATAACAACATCACATCATCACACCAAACATCACACCACCTCACAAGATCACACCAAACACCACATCACAAGATCACACCAAACACTACACCACACCACACACCACATCACACCACACCACATCACAACATCACACTAAACACTACACCACATCACACCAAACATCACAACACCACACTACATTGCAACATCACACCACATCACAACATCACACCACATAACAACACATCACACCAAACATCACATCACACCAAACATCACATCACATCACAACATCACATCACACCAAACATCACATCACATCACATCACAACATCACATCACACCAAACATCACATCACATCACATCATCACATCACACCAAACATCACACCACACCACATCACACCACACCACACCACATCACACCACACAACACCACACCACACACCACACAACACCACACCACACAACACCACACCACATCACACTAAACACCACACCACATCACATCAAACACCACACCACATCATGCCAAACACCACACCACATCACACCAAACACCACACCACATCACACCAAACACCACACCACATCAAACCACATCACAACATCACATCAAACACCACACCACCCACCATATCACATCACACCAAACACCACACCACAACATCACACCAAACACCACACGAGGCCACACCACAATGCGGTTAGACCTGCTCAAACCACCATACCACACTCTTTGCTAATAAAGACAAGCGAAAGCACATCCATTTTCAAGTAATCGCTCTTTATTGAACATACATGGTATACATAGTTCCCAAACAATGTCTCCCACACTCACACAATCAGCTGTTTATCGCACTGGTCCATCAATACACAAACACACACATGCACACACACACACACATACACACACATGTGTGTACACATACATTCAGCTGTTAAAACACAATTTGGTAAAAACAATAACACTTGTGAACACAGATGAGTCATAGTTCATAGAGGCATTCTGGAACACTTAATGACTTCTACTTTTGAATGTCACCACTAAACTGCCGTAAGCTGACAAAATGTCATTTTTCATTTTGGCATTAAAAAGCTTTTTATTTGCTAAATCGAAAGCCTGATCAGTTATCCTACTCGTGTGAAAAAATCAAATTAAACTCTTACTAGTTAAAAAAAAAAATTAGAATTCCAATTCCAGAATGACTCTATTTTTTAACGATTACGTTGACAAAAAAATCCCTTCTTTTTCTCGAAACTGCTCTGAAGAAAAAAGGCATTTCGTCAGCTTGCGGTCGTAAAGGTGATATACTATACTATAACTTTATCACAGTCAGTCTTCTACGGCTGCGAAACTTGGAAGACAACAAAGACAGTACTGAATTAAGTCAAGATTTTCATCAACAGATGTATGAGGAGTATCCTAAGAATTAAGTGGCAGGATAGAATAAGAAATAAAGAGCTGTGGGAAAGGACTGGACAAAAGGATATAGAAGTAGAAATAGGACTACGAAAGATGCGATGGATGGGACACACCTTAAGAAAGCCCAGCGGAAACATGACAAGACATTCGCTGCAGTGGAACCCACAAAGAGCATGAGGCAGGGGTAGGCCACAGGAAACATGGAAGAGATGCGTGGAAAGGGACGTGAGAGAGATGAAGCTTACTTGGAACGAGCTTGGAAGGATGGCCCAGGACAGAGATAAATGGAAGGAGCTTGTATGTGGCCTATACCCTGCCAGGGGTGAAAGGCATTGATGATGATGATAGAGGCCATAACTCTTATCTCCCTCACCCTCCCACCTTCATTTACTCGCTCTCCTCACAAGAGGTCCTATAATTTTATCTCCCTTACCCTCCGACTTCCACTCGTTGAGTCATTCACTTAGTTCTCAAGAGGTCATACAACTCTATCTCTTTCACCCTCCCACCTTCATTCATTCACTCACTCACTCACTCACACACTCAATCACAACTGTTTCTTCCCCTGAACCCCGTCCTTGACCCTCTGACCCCGAGCCTCCCCCTGACCACTGACCACACTGACCGCTCGGATGTCGGCCAGCGCCGCTCGGTACAGCAGGAGCCAGGAGTAGAGCACGCCCAGAGAGCAGTACACGGAGGTCGTCAGGAGCGGCAGGAAGGGGAGGCGCCGGTCGGCACCCAGCAGCCACAGACCCGCGCTGTTCCCCACGCCCAGCGGCACCAAGCCCAGGACGTACAGACTTTCCGGAACGTTCAGAAATGGCAGCTGGAGACACGACAATGGCTTGAAGAGTCTGTTCAGGGCCGCCCTGGAAAACTTTGCTGGTGTTGGGCTGTGGGACGGGAGGGGAGAGTAGGAGGGATGGGGGAGAAGGGGGGAGAAGG